ATTAAATTGAGGCACAGAAATCATAGACATGGCTAAGTTCGAATGTGTAGGGGATGAGAACTAAACAACGCTACAGGCTGCTCCAATTAATCCTGTAATCTAGTCAAGTTACAGAATTATGTTTCAGTTTCTGAAATTTAGTTCCTTTACATGTACACCTGCCACTAAGAATCAATTAAGTAAAAGTATTTTTCAATAATAAAGTAAAAAAACGGTATTTACAAACAGTTATTAAAATTACTGGTGTCTACCGTAAAACTCTGTGTCGATATCAAGTAGAATCAATCATAAAGTTAGAAGATGAAACTTGAAAAAGAGAAAAATATCAAAAGTTTGACAATGCGAATATATTGTCAGTATTGTTGTTTCATTGACAGTTTCAAAGATTTTTTGCTACTTAATTGTCCTCAGGAACCCTAAAGGTTTAGCAAGTCACAAGCAACACTTAGTATTACATAAAGCTACGTTAACTTTCTAGGATACGGTCGGAGATGACAATGAAGTTCATAAAGGGAGGCTGTGTTCAGCGTAGAGCATGTTAGATAGAGAACTAATATTTATTGAGGAAGGAAACAGGATAGCTTACGTATATTAATCACAGCCCCTTTATGAAAACTATGTTGAACCATATGGTATATTGTTATATACTTAATTCTGATTTTTTTCCATGATCTGGAAGTCCAGGCTAAAAATGGTCATCGTATAAAAGCATGTTACTTTCTAAAATTTAAAAAATACATACTAAGCAAATTTTTGTTTTGAGATGACCTCATTAAATGTTATCTGGCATTTTTTACCATTTACACCATATTCCAAAATGACAATAGATCACCGACCATAGACAGATTTGACGAAGAAGCGACATCAATTTTATCATACTCTAGGTGTCATGATCATGAGTAATCGAGAAAATATGAAATTAGCCGTTCTCTAGAAGGATGTACATAGATATAGTGATATTTTGTTGTTTCTTTATTCCTAGCCCTTTAAAAATTTCTGGTTCAAGATGGTTATCTCCGTTTTTTTTCCCGCTTTATTTTTGGCATTACCAAATTCCAGTTCCTCTATTATTATTTCTTATGTTTGTTCTTGATTGTAACTCTCTTCATTTTCATTTCCTTTAAATGTTTTAGCATAGTAATTAGTCTGTATTTTTAATATATATCGTTTGTTTTTGATTCCACCTAGTTCATCTCACTTCTTCCCTCCTGGCGGTACTCAAGAACTGGCAAATGCGCTGCTAATGTATAATAATAATCGTTGTGTGGAGAACACAATTCCGCTTTTATTCAGACATTAAAAGCATAAAGGTCGGTTTATAAACTTGCCGTTCGCCGTTGACGTTGCCGTTATAAGATAAATACTCAGCCGTTGAAAGTTGACACGCCGTTGGAGTGACGTTCGGAATAACCAACTTTTAACTTCCGCCGTTACGTTGCCGTTGACGTTGGGTTTTCAACCAATCAAATTGCGGTAGTGTGCAGTGCTGCCAACTTGAAAGAAAATCCCTTGAAGTAGGATGAACATTTTTCTGGTTGACAGCACTAATTCCACGAAAACTAAATTTTGATAGAAATAATGAGGTCCACTAATATTAAGCCATTTAATCACCTGTTCACCGAAACCCTGGTATTTTAAATAGCGCCACCATTTTATACAGTGTAGTTTTCTGCCAGTACTTGTGCATTGTTAAAGATAGTTCTCGACGTTTAAATCAACAAGATCTCTTGCTGTTCGTCTCAAAAACAGATTAGGTATTATAACTACAAGGGCCGTTTGCCTTTTTTTCTTAATATGTGTAGTGTTTTTTTCACAAACAAAAAAGGTAAAACATGTTGAAAATGGTAAATTTTTGTAGGAAAGAATCGATTTTTGCAATTACTCCGTCCCTCGGTTTGACAACGAATGAAAAATTCATCACGATTGGGATCGAGACGGATGGGTGGGGCTTCTCTTTTGGTTTTCATTTTTAATTACATAATACATTTAGTTTTCTTTGTATAACACGTTTACTCAAGAACATATTCACATGGTAATTTCTCGTAGAAAAATAAGTCTACAAGTAAGCTCCGCCTCTCGGCTTACGACGAAAAAACAACATCAGAACTAAGATAGGGCCGGCGAGGGGGCCTTATATTTTGGGAATGTAAACCCGCCCATCCGCCCTATTTCAATTGTGATGATTTTTTTTTATTCGCCTTGAACCAAAGGGCCGGAGCTTAACTGCAAAATCCTTACTTCTCTACGAGAGAAGTAAGGATTTTGCAGTTAAGCTCCGCCTTCTTGGCTGACGACGAATAAAAAAAATCATCACAATTGAGATAGGACGAGTGGGCAGGGCGACATTTTGCCTTTTTTTCTTAATATGTGTTGACTTATTTCGACAACAAGAAACTTAAAACATGTTTAAAATGGTAAATTTTTGTAGTAATCAACGTAAATCCTCCACTTTTCTTCTACAACCCCTTTAAATACGGCGAAAGTTGAACATCAAAGTCACTATCAGCGTCAGCGGGAACAACAATTCCAACGGGAACTTCAACGTCAACAGAGAGTTTATAAATCCCACTTAATTGGTGGATTATGACAAGACGGATCAAAATCAATTTTCCTCAGATAAAAGTATATTTGAGAAATGAAGCAAAAAAGAAAAAAACAGGCAACAACTTTTTTTTCAAATATTTTTTGGCTAAAAATATGTCCTTAGGAATATTAAAGGTTTAACCTCTTCGGTCCCCCGGTCCAGTCCACTTTACATGTTTGATATTTTTTTTTTCGTTTAGTTTAAATAAAACTGTATGCTGGTGTCCAGACCCCTATACACCTAATAACGTCAGTGTTGCAAGAACTGCAGTTACAATGTTCCTCGTTAATGACATTTCCAACTTCAAAGTTTGTCAAAATAACTTTCAAGAAGGAGCCAAATTACTTTTAATTAGTAAGTAAAAAATAGCTACCATTTTTGAGTGTTGGATAGTTTTGTTTTTCATAACTTTTTTGTATGTTGCATGTTGAATTGAATGTATCTATTATGTTACTTACTGAATAACGCCCTCGTAACCAAGACGTCCAGTATACTGGACTCCAAGATTAAATTCTGTTGTTATAGCGACAGTTTGTTTTTTCCAGCTGACTAACATATGAAAAAAAATGGCAGAGGAACATATCAGGAGTTAGTTAGAATCGACAAAAAATGTCTTTCACAAAATGGATTGATAAAGTAGATCGGTCACAATTTTATCACTATCTCCAGTGTCGAAATCAGCCAATGGGACAAAAAATTAAAAAATATGCAACAGGTTCTCGTCCAAAAACCGTTGCTGCTTACATTTTTTCCATGGGTGGAGTCGACCGTAATGATAGAACGATAGCATACTATAAAATTTCGCAAAAAACTAAGAAATGGTCCGTCCGATTTCTTTCATTATTGATTGTAAATTTTTGGATCGAGTATCGCATGGATCAAAACGTTCTTAAAGCTCCAAGTAAAAATATTATAGATTTGTTAGTATTCAAAATTTACATTAGAGAATGCTTGGACTTGGTAGCCAAAAAGAAAACAAGCACCTAAAGCGATTCCTCCTATGCGCAATTGATGTCAAAAACATATAATGAGAGGTACACAGTTAAATTCCAAAAGCAATACATTATTTCAATGTTCGGAGTGTCAAGTCTTCTTACATATGCAACTCAATCGGCAATGTTTTTATAATTTTAACACAAAAAAAAATTAAAAACTTGTAGAATATATACGAAGATGCGTAACTACCATTACCTATGTATTAGAAGTGTTTTCATTAATTAAAATTCAAAATTTAAAAATTGTAACAGATAGGAACTTTAAGGTTTATTGGATTTAAATTTTTTGGAAACATATATAAATTACAGGATTTTAAACTATTTTTTTACCAGGGACTGAAGAAGTTAACAAGCCAAATGCACCGCTTAATATTACATAAATCATCCTTAAACATATCCCTTCTCTAGCGTAGTTTGTTTCTCCAGACGTTTAGGATTTGTGCTCCGTTCATAGACTATTCATGACAATTTAATTATTTATAGTATATAATTTAACTAAGCAGTGGTTTCTGTCTCCTTTGAGACAAGCTGATGCAAATAGTCGAGGACATTATAGCTCCAAAAGCACTACGATAAACTCCTTGGGTACAACGTCAACTTCTAGTGACGATTCATTTTATTTGCAAACTACCATCATTCCAGCGAGTCATGTTGACAACTATGATTCTCACCCGTAGTATTTAATACGAAATTAAACAGATATAAGAAAGTGTAAATATAGTCGTCTATGTATATACTGGTCAAATAAATCGTTAACGCATCAGGAGTTTGAGCAAGTATGTGAGGTCTTTTTTTTTTGTGTGCTACAATGTCAGACTACAAGAGTGAAAGTTCGACTAATATTGGTAGTAATGATACAGTGTTATGATTCACGATTATTTGAAAAGCATATTTAAAAGCAAAAGTTGTTTGACCTCATTATATATATATATAGGGTTTCTATAAATGATTATACGTAGTAGGTCGTGAAAACGTGCCGCTTCTCACTTTTGGAACTTACTAAATCCTCAAGGACTCACGACAAAACCACACACATCTGCATAACTGGTTATCTAAATGCTTATATCTTGTTAAGCAATAAAACTAATTCATTACAATAAAAATAAACAAATTTCGAATTACATCACAGTAAATGTCGAAAGTCCAACATAAGTGATTCTTCGGTCTTCCACACTTTTAGAATGAGTTTGAAAGTGAAAGAGGCGAATTAACATTCTGGTTTTTGTAAAGAAATCGACTGTCCATAGTTCACGAAATGTAATGTGGTTGTATAAAAACGACAAAGAAAAATATTTAGCGTGATAGAAAAATAAAGAGAGTAAGAAACAATGAAACTTTAATCTATTATAAGTAGAAATTTTATTATTTTTTTTACAGTTTATCTTAATAAATTGAACTATACTTGAAAATAATCCATCGTGCACTTAGAGTGAAATTTAGCTACACTAACCGTGAAGTACCACAAATTCAAGACATAAACCCCCATATTATCAATAACCAGCCATAATGTTTAAAAGTTTTGAATAAACCAATTCCTTAATTCTGATCCCTATTAACCAATCCAAGTGTTTAACCGTAGTATCATTGACTAAATTGTTGCTACCACAAGCATTACCTAGTTCCTTGCATACTCTAACAGCATCCACTTCAGACACTGCTAAATCATCCCGACTATAAAACAAATGACACTTTACAGTAACCAAAGACAAATCGTACGCAGGAGGCGTCAAAAATCCATACACTTCCTCATTCTTCTTTTTTCCATAATCGTACCTTCGAAAGTAGCCCGACTTAACACTCTGCAAAAAGTGCTGAGTTTGCTTTCTGGATATTGGTAATGGAAAATGTCCCAGAAAAGAAGTTAACGTGTCTGAATTCACTTGATGTGGTTTATACCCAAAAATAGCCATAAAAACTAAATTACAGAACCTGGGGCTAAAAAAGCACACTCCGCTTTTAATAAGTACCAAAAACTTTGGAGGAATTTCATTAATTTTAAGAACTTTAAGCCAGAAGAAAATGAAATTGTTCCAATGGGCGATCGTTCGAATTGGGACGTTTTTCATGTGACCCAAATAAGCGGCAGGTGCCATGGATACATGTACTTTAATTTTATCGTTATACTTTGGTTGAGTTGCCATCATGACGAAAAATATTGTGCTCCCTTGGGAGTAACCCACATAGTAGAGTCCCTTTTGATAGGTGACTTTTAAAACGTGATCGACCATTGTTGGAAGATCGATCGTGCCCATTTCGTGAAAGGTGAAGTCCCAGAACTTGGGGTCTCTGTTTGGGTTAAGTGTGGTGTGGTTGCGGGAATATGGAGTTCCTCGTACGTTGCCAAGCCATACGTCGTATCCTTCATCAGCTAGTATAAAACCTGAAGGAGAATGGAGTTTGAACTGGGAAACATGTAGAACAAGGGGTTGAAAAAATAGGGTTTGCTTTACCTAGACCGTGTTCCACTCCAGTGCAGACGAAGCTACTTGATTCAACAAATAGTCCATGGAGTACCAGGACAACTTTGCCGGAAGAGGTCGTGTTATTAGTAGGCAGGATACGATGAAGGGCCAGAATGTAGCCATCAGAAGTAGTCACATGGTGTACTTCATTTGGGTATCCATATTTGGTCAAAATTTGGGGCTACACATAACACAGAAACGTCATTATACTTAGAGAAACGTGTCATAACTTACTGTTGTCAAATGAGCATTTTCTTTATCCGCTAAAACTCTGAATAGAAGAGCTAAAAAGCAAATACTTAAAACTGTTTGGTGTGACGCTACCGCCATTTTAATATTTTTTACTTAAAACACTTAAAGCCAGTTAATAATAATAAAAAGTAAATATATTTTACTTCGTATTTTACTATCAGTATGACGACTGCACACTTGCATTAGTAATAACACTGATAAGAACACATAATTAAACAAATTATAGGTGGTTTTAAAAGAGAAGGATAAAAATAGGGCAGAAGTTGGTAAACTCTCATCTTTATTATGTGAAAAACACAATAATATAAAGTAAAGTAGAATGAATAATTTAGATAATCGTCTAAATACACAACAAAATTTTAATAATTAGCCATCACACTTACACCTTTCGAATACACACACACATTCCACTTATTTTACAGTGCCAGTACTTGTATTTCCATACTTCACCGGCACTGACTTCACTCTTCTTCATTCCCTTATCCTTCTTCACCCGCACCCCCATACCTCACTCCGTCACACCCTCTCTCATCGTTCTCCTTTTTTAAACACACTTTCCGCAAATCCCATTAATCTCTCATACATCTCTTCTCTCAAACCGTCTTTCCCCAAACCATCCTGACCATTCACAACTGCTTCTTTCCTCATCATACAATCCACACTCGAAACCACACACATGCTACCCAATTCATAATCTATGATCACACATACTCCCGAATTTTGACCTTCCACTCTTATTTGTACAGCATCCACAGCCACTCTTATATCATTCTCTCTCATACATACCCCTATGCAGAGCTGTTCAAAGTACTCAAAAAAAGTACTTGAAGTACCAAGTACAAAGTACTACTTGAAATAGTGTTCAGGTAAAGTACCAAGTACTTACTTTCAGCAAGAGTATTTCAAGTATCAAGTACTTTTCAGATGTACTTGAAGTACAAGCCAAGTACATTACTTCAAGTACTTACGAGTACTTGAAGTACTGGAGGTATACTTCAAGTACTTACAAATACTTGAAGTACTGAAAATGCTTCAAGTACTTTCTAATTATTTGAAATACTGTAGAATTAGATAACTTTTCCTGTTTTTTTAAAAAAGCTTAATATATTTTAGAATTGAATTTTTTAATACTCAGAATTTAAGTATACAATAATACATATTTCGCCACATAAAAAATTGCATAAGCATCAACTTAAATGCAAAATGGTAGCTCACTTATTAATAATACTATGTTATTTATAACCAATATTCTTTTGAAATACTTTTACATCTTTCTGTTGACACAATGCCTTCGACAAAATTAACGTCTATTTCTAATTTAAAATTTAAAATAAAATACATGACGGCGTTGTCTATGTATGTTTACTATTAATTTGTAACAAAAACATCGGCGCTGTATGGTATTTTCTCAGGCTTCTGTTGCCTTTTTTTAATATTTTGAATTTTGGTTCACCGCCAAAACGTTCTGATTTTTTAATAAGGTTGTGTTAAAAATATATGAATTTTATGAACCGGTTCCGTGTTTAAGTTTGTGGGTAGTATACAGCACCCATTACCCATTGTGAAAGTGCACAGGGGCGGATTTGTGAAAGTGAAATTTTTCAGAAAAAAATTTTAAAAGCAGTGCGATACATATACATGCTCGTGACATAAAAATGTTTAAGTCATTATGTTGTATTTAAAAAAAAAGTATGCATTTTTTAAATAAAAAATAAAATGCCTAAAACGAGAGTCCATTTTCAGCGAAAACTATAACTCTTGAAAAATATCAAGGCGATCAAAGTAATTAGTCGTTTTTTACTTTTGCGGTTACCAAAAATGCTGAGAATTTTCTTGGAATGAATGCCCCATATTCCTGAATATATCTGTCTACCACTTACGTATTTACTATTCTAAAAATTATTAAATTAACCTAAATACTACAGTGACTAAATAGTAAACACTAATCACTACAATGTTTGTCTAACTAGGTATGTAACTTTACACTGACAAATCACAAATTATAGGTTCGTAATGCTGTTCCGTCCATTTATACAAAATTTTGTTCCTCTAATGCCACAATACTTTCAAAATTTTCCTTTACATTTTCGATTGGCTTATTTTTTATTTTTACCTGAAAACCCAAAGAAGATGACATTAGTAACTGATAACTACAATGACTTCAGGGAATGCCTAAGAACGGCATTTGCGAAAATTTAGGTAAATATGTACTAAATTTATTATTGTTAAAATATTTCGTAGGGGTGTATTTATCTAGGCAATTATACTAACTAATCGCGAATTTCATTAACTTTGTATTTTTTTATAATGTGAATATGTATTTTGTTCCATTTACGGAAGCGGCCACTGACCCTTTTGGGTATCTTTACCTGACATTGTAAATACAAATGTAAATTCAGTACTTCTGTAACCGTCCTGTATTTAAACATCGAAACCGAACGCTGTCTATTACTTCGCACACAACAAAACAAAGGTCTTTCGAGCAATATCAAAGTACAATTCGGTACTCATCAAAACCATACAATCATGGTCGTATCAACTGGATTACAAAAAACATTGGTACTACGATCCGAGTTTAACAAAACATATTTCATTTTGAACAATATTGGGTTTATGTAATAAGCGATGCAATGTAATACGTAAAGTTGTTGTGGGGTAATAAATAAAATCCGTACAAGAAAGATAAATGACACTAATTAGTGTGACTTTTAAAATTATTGTTTTTCTGCATTACGTCTTTTTAAATTGTTGGTGTTCAAATAATTCATACAATTTAACAGATTATTTGAAACTGTAATGTGAGAAAATATAACTAGTTATAACAAACTAAGTTTATATGGCTGAACCATGTATAAACAAAAAAAGAAAATTTAGTAAAAAACGAGTGTCTAACATGATAAAGAAAATTAAACTGCAAAATATTTAACATAAAATTGTGTTTAAATTCTACCAGGAAGAGGCGAATATGAAAGTCTGTACCTGCCATCAGCTATTGCTATTATAATAAAAGGGATAATCCCCTGCCGAGTTCTCCGCCCTGACCAGGCTTCTTACTGACAAATACACGGCGGGGTTAAGAAACTAATGAAAGAAAAAATATCTTTTTGAACGAGTACTGAATCATTTCTCAAATATTTTCAAATCCGACCTTGCACTTTAGCAGGTACGTCAACAAACCCGATTCCCTTTGGGGTACCGGGAAGGTACTGAAAAACTACCCACAAAGTTAAGTTCCAGACCAAAATACAAAAAAGACAAAATTCATATATTCACAACTTTACATCGCTGAAAATTTTACACAGATCTCCGACCCTTCTGCGGTCGTCATTCACTCTCAAATGACATATTTATGACATTAATTTTCTTACCTACCTATCTATCGGCATTATGCAAGTACCTATGAAATTTCCGTCATATTGTGGATAAGATATCCACAATCACAGATCAAAATATAACCTCACAGGAAACAAACACGATTTTACTATAAAAATACATCTAATCAAATAATTGAATTAATAACTTCAAGTATTTAACAGACCCTATTTTGAGATGTGAAAACTTCGTAAAATAGAGACTAAAGTATTTGAAATTTCCACTTTCATACTTCAAGTAATTCAAGAGTATTTAAAATACTGAGTGAAGTACTTGGAGTAAAGTAGTAAACTCAAGTACATTTTAGAAATACTCCAAGTACCAAGTACCAAGTACCTAAATATAAAAGTACTTCAAGTAAAGTACTTGAAGTACTTAAAGTACTTGAAGTATTACTTCAAGTACTTTTACTTGAAGTACTGAACAGCTCTGCCCCTATGTCACACATCACACCATAACAACCCTGACAATTTGCTTGCAAGATTTTAAGGCCCATAAATAAATTTCCTGACCAAACTTGTACCGCTGTACAAATATCGGGCACATACTGGAAAACACCGAGTGGCCAAATTCCTTTCCCGCTACCTTACAATTCCTACACTGGTCGATCGTCGCCTGACATTATTTCCCCACATGTCTCTGTTCCCCACATTTCTTGCAAACCTTATTTCTGATCTTACAATCAGACGCAGCATGGCCGTACCCATAACAGTTATAACACCTCAACACATCGACCCAATTTTTCCATTTGAAGGAATGCCAGCCAGCATACATATAACCTGGTCCAAAAATACTACCCTAACTTTATCCGTAACTTCAATCACAACATTTTCGAATTTTTGACTTACCTGATCTGTTCCCGCTTGCCCGATTCTCTTCCCAACAATTCTAACACTATCCCCAAACTGTTCCTCTGCCATCTTCCCCACGAAATTTTTCCGATATATCCCCATTTCCACAGGTACATCATACAACATAATCCTAAATCCTCTCCTTTTCATATCTTCCGTGGACCAGTTCGGGTTTGTCTTAACCACCTGCTTTATCATCTCTATCTCCTCCTTACTCCTCGTCTCAATTATTAACCCACCACTTCTGTTCCTCCTCACATTTTCCACTTTCACGTCTACATCCATCTTATTAACTTTCTCTCTAATCTTTTCCCCATCTTCCTCTGGATGCTTTGACTTCACTATAACAGAATACGTTTCCTTCCTTCTTGGCACTTCCTTATTATTCTGCCCAGATCTAGCACCTCCGACAACTCCAGCGTACGTCTTCCTATCCGTCGATTCCAGTTCTTTAATCCTTCCCTTCATAAAACTATTCTCAACGGCTATCTCCAATGCTATGGTCTCCATTTTACCCCAAAATCCCAACACCTGGTCAATCACCACCTTGCCAACTCTACTCGACTCCAAAAATAGGCACGCCCTCAAGGACAGCTCTATCTCCTTTACCCTTTGTGTCACAGTTTCCTCCATCTTCTCCTCTCGCGGCATTCTTGTCTTTCCTTCCAGCCCCTCTCGTCCAGAAAAGTTTATTCTAAGTCCCCAAATCAAAATTATTCCTAGTCCTAAAAACGAAAATTTCCTAAGTCCAATCCAATGCAAGAGAAAAACATAAAAAAAAATTCTTCCTGATTTATCCCGATCTCCCGCGAGAGAACCCCGCCAACCTATTCCTGACTCCCCAACCGGTTTATT